CTCTTTTATGGTTTTGCGCCGAGCCTCCATGTTTTTCGGAAACTCCACAAACTGGTGCCGAACTAACAATCAGACGAACATCATGGCACTGGTTGGTGGCGGATTGAGACCCATAGGGGGCATCTCACCACTTGGTCGAATGATACTTCGGACAAGGATTGGCGGGGCCAAAGGATCTGGGTTCGGGCGCCTTCAAAAGAGGACCATCCGAATTATTTTGGTGGGCTGAGGTACTTGAGCGAGCCTGATCCCCAGATGAGGAGCATCGGACTTGACGAGTTCGATGATCATGAAAAGGAGCTGCTGACTCTCTTCCGCAAAAAGAGGAATTCAGGGGGCACGGACCGAACGTCCCAAGTGCCCACAACTTGGCTGCCCTGCTACCACTACATCTTCCAGGAGAAGATGCTTCTGTCCTCGGCCTCAGCTGAAAATACCAAGGGGGTAAGGAGTTCAGGAGAAGATGCTTGCCGTCGTTGGCCTCAGCCGAAAATACCAAGGGGATAAGGAGTTCAGCTAGGGCCGAAGACCTTTTCTTTTTTCTTTTACTGTTTGTTTACTTCTGCTGACTAACCCTTGAATTTCGGCTTTTCAGTGCTGCACGAGGGAAATTCTGGTATTAACTACAATCGACTTGGGATCAACGCTGCAAGGCGGGTGGCGAAAAACGCTCCCGATATAACTGAGTCATCAGACCGGCCCCGTTCTCTGTGAAAAATTAAACTTCAGATAGTCAGCGTCGCTGAGTACGAGGCGCAGAAGGTCTGGTGGAAGAAACGTGACCTCTTCTTCCTTCTGAGCCCCGTAGAACAGGCTGTTGCTGGTGCAGCGCCTCTTGCAGCTGGAGTACCCAAGGCCGCCGAGGTTTTTGGGAGCGGTGCTGAACCTTCTACCTCTACTGCTGATCCTCAGGCAAAAGAGGAGAAAGTTGAAGAAGAGGACGGGGCGGCTGAAGATGAACGCCTGTTGAGGACTTTGGTGAGCCTTCCAAACTTGTCTTGATGTTGCCTTTCTTTTTCCGTTTTGTATTTTTTTTGTTTTGTTTTTGGGTTTTTTTACTTGGTGCTCATATCGCTCTTTGCTTCCTTATTCCTTCTGCTGTAGTCTGACAAAAAAGGAGGAAATAGAGGAGAGTCGGCTGAAGAAGAATCCTCTTCAGACGAATCTTTAAACGAAGAAATGTTCGGCCCGAAGAGAAGACGGGTTGTTTTTAATCCCGGGCAGTTTCAACCTGCCTTTGTTCCTACCAAGAAACCTCGAGGAGGACAAGCCAGAGGAAAGGAAAGAGAAGACTCCTCCCCCTCCTGAGATTCGTGCCGAAGGAGATAATTTGACGAAGACTACTCCTCTTGAGGCATTTGGGGAGGATGAGATTCTGCCGGAAGCTCCTCCTGAGACTCAGGAAGTTTAAATTTCCAGTTTGGCTCCTCCCACCTCTCCTCGGCATGTGGCCGAGCCTTTTATCGACTAGGTTCAGAGGGAAGCTGATGCACTGCTTGTCCACCCTGAGGACGAGGAAATGCCAATTTTGAATGAAGGCCTCAAGGGTCTAGATGCTGATGGTGTGAAGGAGGTCGAAAGGGGAAAGAAAGCTGAGGAGACCAAGAATGCCAAAATGCCTTCAACTTCGGTTACTGAATCTTTCAAGACGTTTCAGTATACGGAGATGAGGTTCGGTTCTGCCCTTTTGGTGCCTGTTCCCGACTATGCTAGGAACGTCTTCGAGTCTCGGTGTAGCTCGGCCATGGAATACTTTGGAAACCTCTCTAGCATGTCTGAGCTGGAGAGGGCAAGGGCTTGGACCATTGGAGCTGCCGCTGGCGCGTTTGAACCACTTGCTAAGGTCCCGAATCCCTTTGTTGAAAATCAAAGGCTGCTGATGCAGGTAAATCTTTCAGCACTTAAGCTTTTTCACTTAAGTTTTTTTTTATTATTTTTTTTTTATTTTTTATCCCGGCTGAGACCGAGAATGTAAGCTTCGAGGCGGACTCTTAGCGTTAGATTGACTCGACCGATATGAGCTTGTCCGCTGTTGAGAATGGTGAAAAGGTGGCCTCTCAGATGCAACCTTTTCTGAAGAGGGTGCCTCCGAAGAGGATGAAGAAGGTTGCGGAGATGGTGGAAAAAGTGGATTCTTCCTCACCGGAATTGGACCTTTCTTCTAGGAAGAAGGACCATTCTTTTTAGTACTCTTGGTACTCTTACCGCTCTTAGTCATTTTTGCTAAGATTGACTAATTTTTGGCTTACTTTTGAATTTCTTCCCCACAGACGGCGCCAAATAGTTTTGGGTAAAAACAATGGGACCTTCGGCAAGGTCCTTTTCTATGGGCTGAAGATTGATCTCGGTCTACGTGATGACTGGGTTGAGGATTTTCTGCACAGCAAACACACGTAAACTTGCCTCAGGGGTTGTGCCGAGGAAGACCCCTTCGATGCGGAAGTCAATACAGTGTTTAGAGAGAAAGAATTATGCAAGAGTATTAAAGAGAGAAGCTTGAAGGCTTTTATACCTTTTCTCAATGGATAAGTGGGCCGTGAATCAAGTGGGCTTGCCACATTGACCGGGCCTTAACTGACTTGACATGGTTTGGAGAGTTGAATCTTAGCCTTGGGCTTTGTATAAAACATTTGTGACCGGCCCAATTAAAGTAAATTAGACACAACATATTTGCATCTATACAATTTATCTAATTAATAACGATTCTCTCAACCGCTAGTCTGCTACATGCTATAATTTGATCCAATTATTATTTTTTTTTATTTTTGATCCAAGTGAAGATGCTTACATCCAAAGAAAAAGAAAATACCGAAATAAAAAAATAAACACAAGCAAAGCAAACTAACTAAGGAGGGATTAGCCGTGGCATAGCCACACCTCGAATGTCCTCCTCTAAAATACGACTAAGCTCCACCGGAATGTTATTATTAAAATTTTCAAGTTGAGAGTCTTGAATGACTCCGCGGTTGGCCAACCAATTCGGCGCTCTATTGCCCTCCCGGAACACATGGACCAACTTCACTTGCCATCGATTGTCATTAAGGAGATCTAAACATTGCCTAATGTCATGGATATTCTCCCCATAAGCAACTTGCTGCGTGTTCAAAGCGTGTACACAAGCCTGATTATCAACTTGGACTTCTAGCTTGTCAATCTGAAGATTGCGAGCAATTTCTAGCCCTCGAACTAAGGCCAACACTTCAGCTCGAAATGCAGAACAATACCCAAAGCTAGCTGCAAAAGCAGACACCATGTTTCCAGCATAATCTCAAATTATTCCCCCTCCCCCAGCTGGACCAAGACATCCCTTAGCAGCTCCGTCACAATTAAGCACATACCAGCCATAGGGGGGGGGGGCATGCCAAGTGATGTTGACTGGCACCTTGTAGCGTGGCTTTGCATTGCTATCGTCCAATGCATCCCAAATTGCCCGTCTAGCCTCTTCATACCTCACTTGAAGAAACGCTCCCGCATCAATGGGAAGTTCATTGCGTCTATTATAAACATAGCAATTCCTCCATCTCCATATCCACCAAACCGCAACTCCAAAGAAGGTTGCCCAAGACTCTGTTCCTTCCAAAGAGTCTTCTTTTATATTCTCAGTGATCCACTCTTTCAAATTGCCATGATAGAATCTGTCCCTAATTGAGTCATCCACCACATTACGCCACACAACTCGAGCAGCCGCACAGTCCCTAATAATGTGGAGGGTACTCTCATCAGCACCACCACATATGTAACACCTCGGGTTGTCAGTCATGCGCCTCTTGAACATATTTGAGTTGCCAAGCACCCTATCGTGACAAGCTAACTAGAGGAAAGCTCTAATACGCTGTTGGACAGGGGCATGCCAAACCGCATCCCAACATTCTTCATCTAAGACATCGGTATGATGTTGCATAATCTGGATGGCCGACTTGATTTTGAACTTCCCCTTATCACCATCCTTCCAATACACCAAATCACCAATCGAGGAATCAAGTCTCACCTCATAATTTTGAATTTTCTTAAGAACACTTTGATCAAGGAATGGGGCAAAGATGTTCCAACGCCATCCAAGCCCATCCTCCCACATCTCACCCACTGTCGAACCTGCCAATTCCATTTGATCCAATTATTTGGTTGTTATGTAATTAGATGTTATAAGTGTAGCTCTCAATTGAAATGTAGCTTATTGCACCATTTAATTATAAGATCATATTACTCATTTATATATAACAATCCACTAAATACTTTACACATATTAATATATTGTTAAGATATTGTAATACTGTAAATTACCCCGTAGTTTAAAAATTGTGTTGTACTTAATTAGTATGAGAGACACGTCGGCAGATTACATTTTGTAAAGTTGTGATAAAACTTTGGCTTCCCTTCATTCATTCATGAGCAAAGTATTTATATTACAATATGCTTAGTTTCCTAAGCCTTGTCAAAGCTGTGTACAGCTAGCTAACTATAGATAATCATAGGAAAATATATCTTAGTGAATCTAAATATTCACCCAATCAAATATGCACCTATATATTTCCTAAATATATCTCAATACATTTTCAAAATTTAATTCACCTATTTTTTATTTCAAGGTTTGCACGAATCATTTGATAATAAATCGTCAAAACTTTTCCTTAGCTCATGAGACTCATGAACTCATGACCAATTCTACCGACAGTTGTGTTTGATTTGTAAAAAGACATGACATACGTATAAGGTGAAGACAATTTTTTTAAATATACTTCGTACAAAAGTTTTTGTGGTGCTTTTTTTGTGTGACCACACTGTGTGACCGGGGTTACTTATTTAAGGGTTACTCATTCGATCAAGGGTTACTTATTCTGAGGTTACTAAGTCGGTTAGTGTGTTTTTGTTGAGGTTACTTATTCAAGGGTTACTCAGTTGGTTAGCGCATTACCGAGTAACCCATGATCGACCAAGTAACTCATGAATAAAGTAATTCGGGACACACGTTGTGACCAGTTACGAATAAAATTAAAGTTTTTGCAAGGTGAATGGGCCGGGGTGATGTGATGAGTTAGCCGAGGTCACGATATTCTAACAAGACACAACCTGGGAAATCATACGATTGCGATGATAATTGACAAGCCTCCAAATCCAATCCGATTTCTCTAAAATTCGATCAACAATTACATTATTAAAAAAAAAAAAAAACAAAAAAAAAAATTTCCTCTTTCTGGGTTGCGAGAAATTCACACCAAGAACTCAAATTAGCAGTAATTAGAAGAAATTCAAAAATGGGGTTGCCCAAAAATACAGTGTTTTGTGTAGGCACTGCTGATACAAAGCTTGAAGAACTCCGCTTTCTATGTCAATCTGTTGCTTCCCACTTTAAATCTTTTTCTCCCAATTCCTCCCATTCTCAGGTTTGAAGGTTTTTTATTTCCGTTTTATTTATTTATTTAATGATCTTATTTATGTTGGTCATTAAATTGCTAAGCTTGATTGATTAATTTTGTGGTTGGTTAGCATTCAATTTTTGTTGATTATGTCTCTGTTTTTGCAATTTGTTTTTCTTTTCTGATTTGTGCAGATATATATAATCTATTTTTAGGGATTGTGACAATTGATTTGTCCATGAAAAAGTATAAAGTACTCTCTTAGACAATTCTTGGAAAAATTAGCAATTATGTGGTGGGAAAATTTTAAATTAGCTTGGTACACTAAGGCTATTTTTTAATTTTTTTTTTCTCATTTGTAGAAGTCCAAATGCACCAAATAAGCATAAATTGCACTTGATTGTACGTAGAGATGGGAACACCCGTGTGTATAATAAATTCTCTTTATTATGTTGCTTAAAGGATTTTCAGATTTTGCTATATGCATGTTCATATAAATATATAATAGTTCTGACTGCTGAGTGTGACTATAATAAAACCAATCAAGTCTTCCCCTTAAACCCTTATAGAAAATACAAATTTATCTTCTTGATTAACTATGGCATAATTTTGCACTGTTCATAGGTAAAGCGGCTAACATTAGCGATTTTACCCCAAAATATTACAATTTTACCACTTGATAAACAAACTCGGCTATGAGAGACATTGTGCTGATTTATTATCATTTAAATCTCTGCTTAATTTTGTGTTACTTGTGGAGTTTCTGGAAACAGCGCAATTTTGACCCTGCACTTGAAGTGCTCTTTTATTAAATAACATCATTTCAGAAATTCAGACTGTGACCCTTGATTTCTTTTATCATAAGGAATTGAATTTGGGAATGGGAGGGAGTGGTTTAATTGATCCACAGGTTTGCAAATCTGATTACTCAAAATGGTAGTATAGATTAATATCTGTTCCAAATTGGATATAAAGTTGTCTCTTATCACTAGTTTATGTGTGCCTTGTATCATATTCAGGTCACTCTAGCTGATGTATGCTTTTATTCTGATTACTCAAAATGGTAGAATAGATTAAAATCTGTTGCAAATTGGATACAAAGTTAAATCTTAACACTGGTTCATGTATGCTTTTAATCAGGTTCAGGTCACTCTGGTTGATGTTTCCTCAGGTCAGAAGGTGATCCAGAGTTTGGAAGACTTTCATTTTGTTCCGAGAAAGGATGTGCTATCTTCTTATCTTGGTCCTGGAAACCAAGATTATTTGCTTCCTGATGATCGAGGCAGAGCAGTGAAAATAATGAGTAAAGCTCTTGAACAATTCATAAAGAAAGCTTACGAGGATCATGTAGTTGTGGGAGCTATTGGTCTTGGAGGCACTGGAGGAACTTCTTTATTGTCTTCTGCTTTTACAAGTCTCCCCGTTGGGGTGCCGAAATTCATTGTTTCCACTGTAGCAAGTGGTCAAACTCAGCCTTACATTGGTACGTCAGATTTGGTATTGATTCCATCTGTGGTTGATATATGTGGAATCAATCGAGTGAGCAGGGTTATTTTGTCGAATGCTGGAGCTGCATTCGCAGGAATGGTTCTTGGAAGCTTACAGCGGTCATCTAACTCTGCTAGTGTTGAGGGAAAACCTACTGTTGGAATTACTATGTTTGGTGTCACCACTCCGTGTGTGGATGCTCTTAAGAACAGGTTGCTTGAGGAAGGTTATGAATCTTTGGTGTTCCATGCAACTGGGGTGGGGGGCAAGGCAATGGAGGATCTTGTTAAAGGTGGTCTAATACAGGTAAATTTCTCATTATGGTACAAACTTAGAATGACATGCATGTTTGATTTGTTGCAAAGATCTGATAACCTACCTATTCATGTCTTATGTGCTACATGTTGTTCATTCAAGTGTGCTGCTTTCCTATATGTAATTATTTGCACTGAGATGGCTAATTTGTTTTTATTTAATTGTTGGTCATCTGCTATTCCATCCATGTCCTTCACAAGATCATTTGATATTGTTACATAATTTAATTGTTATCAGACTAGATTCTTGAAAACTTGGAATGAACTTATCATGTTTGCCTTTAGTTCATGATATTCTCAACTACTACTTTGGTTTCTTTTTTTCACCAACTATTATATCTTTCTTGAGTAGGGAGTGTTGGATATCACAACAACAGAAGTTGCTGATTATGTGGTCGGTGGTGTCATGGCATGTGACAGCTCTCGCTTTGATGCTATCATAGAGAAGAAGATCCCCTATGTCCTAAGTGTCGGAGCCTTGGATATGGTTAATTTTGGTGTGAAGGACAGCGTGCCTTCCAAGTTTCAGGATAGAAAGATTTATGTGCATAATGAGCAGGTAATCCTCAACATCGTCAGGTTTTGTGCAACATTGGTCAAGCAATTGGTTTTTGTTCAACTGTTATTGGTGTACTTACTTGCAAAATGGCTATAGAAAATCATTACAAAAATTAGATAAAATCTGGTATCATATTACAGTTCTGTGATGTTAATAGCATCTCAATTTTATTTCTGTAGTGTAGTTCTGTGCTCTGCTCTGCAGTTCTATTTTGTACCTCAAAAAAAAAAAATTAAAAAAAAAAAAAAATGAAGGCTTTTTAGAAACAACTTCTAATAATCTTCTATCACTTAGGGTTAAAATTGATTGTTTGGTGGCTTTTTATAGGACATCTGGGGTTTAATCACAGGTAACATATATTTGTAATCATGTACAGGTGACACTAATGCGGACCACACCAGATGAAAACAAAAAAATTGCGGAGTTTATTTCAGGTAAACTGAACAAGGCAACATCAAAAATTTGTGTCTGCTTGCCAGAAAAAGGTATCTCTGCTCTGGATGCACCTGAAAAGCCTTTTTATGATCCTGAAGCAACTGGCACCCTACTAAGTGAACTTCAGAGGTTGATTCAGACTAACGAATATCTGAAGGTTCTGTGGTTAAACAGATATCTTATAGTTCTTAGTTTCTTGTGATTTGTGAAAGCTATTAAATCGACATTCCAATTACCTATAACTTGACTACTATTTCTTTGATTAATAGGTAAAAAAATATCCTCATCATATCAATGATCCAGAGTTTGCAACTGCATTAGTTGATGCATTTCTCGAGATCAGTAGCAAGAGTGCAACAAATTCACATTTGAAAAAACTTACAGCTAATGGACACAATCAAGATCTTAGTGAAGATGTGAAAGCTAAAGCAGACTCATCTAGTTATCCATCCGTAGAATACAGCTTGAGTGAATTCCCGGACGCAAACAAAGGTTCTTACTTTATCTTCGCATACTTGATTGTTATAATTTTTAGTTTGAGTATGAGGATTTGGAATCTTTAGCTATGGTAGATTCAAATAATTGGTTTACGATGGCATTAGTAATCAAAACAATATGTGACGACAATTGTTCCTAACAACTGGATTACCTGCCTGACACCTAATATAACCAACTCCTTTATACTCCCTCCGTCCTTTATTAAAAGCCTATTTCTAATATTTATTACTCACATAATAAAGAGAAATAGGCTTCTAATATAGGGACGGAGGGAGTAGTATTTATATAATGTTCTGATGACATTTCAGATGTTAATGTGCAATACACCCACAAGCTCCACCTATTTTGGTGTATAGCAGAAGGCAAAGGAGGGGACAGGAACAGCAGGGGCTGCAGGACACTCCACCAACACCAACACAAGCAACGGTTATCTGAGTGTAGCAGGGGACACTTTTGGAGTATTAGCTTATTAACTGTGGTAACTCTAGCTTGTTGACAAATTGTAGTAAATTTAGCAATTAAGGCGTTTTGTCCGATTATGTATGAGTTGTAGTAGTATAAATAGGTGAGAAAAGAGTAGAGGAAAAAAGGAGAAATTTGTAAGGAACTCTTGGAGAGTAATGGCCTAAAGCCATTGTTATCTTTCTCGCAAGCTTTTAGCTGCCATTAATCAATCAAACAATTCCCGTCTTAGCTATTTATTGCCGTACCACGTAGTCCGTTGCACTTGGTATCAGAGCCGGAATGCCGCCGACTCCGTTAACGGTGACGCCGGAGAGGGTGGCGGCGCTAGAGGAAAGAGTGGAGGAAATCTTCGAAAAGCTCGGTGAAGGGGAAGGTTCGCTTCAGCATACACTCTTGAAGAAACAAGATGAATCCATTGACAAGGTGAGGTAATCGTTGGAGGGAAGAATGGATCGATTCCGTCAAGACATAACCCAACATGTGAACATGGCGACGAGCCGACAAGATAAGGTTCTAGACGAGATTCGCGACGCCTTGAAGGGACTGGGGGGTCAGCAGGCGCCATCGCATGGGGCGGAGGAAGAAGTGGAGCAGCCTCAACACGGGGCAGGGGGTTACCAAGACACACCAATCGGAGCAAGGGCTTTCAATGGCCTCCGCTTTGGAAATTGGGAGGCAGGGTTGGGTGGTGCATTTCGCCACCACGAGAACAACCAGGAGAATCGCAACTACCACGAGACTCGCAACAACTGGAAATTCCGTAAGTTGGACATGCCCACGTTCGACGGAAAAGACACAGACGGGTGGATCTTGAGAGGAGAGCAATTTTTTCTATTCTATCAACTGTCGGAGGCCGAGAAAATACAGGCGGCGGTAGTGGCGTTTGATGGGGACGCGCTCCGGTGGTATCAATGGGAACACCGTCGTCGACCGGTGGTGCTCTGGGAAGATTTGAAATTACGAGTGTTAAACCAATTCCGACCTATTAACGCCGGCTCGCTACACGAGCAATGGTTGGCGGTGCAACAAACCGCCACGGTGGTGGAGTATCGGAGGTTTTTTATAGAGAAGGCGACGCCTCTTCCTGACATTCCGGAGAACATTCTCAAGGCTCAGTTTATTAATGGATTGAGGGAGGAAGTAAAGGCTGAAATTCGAATGTTGAATCCGATGACCTTGGATGAAGCAATGGACTTGGCGGTGCGGGTCGAGGAAAGAAATCGGGTAGCCGGGTTCAAGAAGTCGGGTGGAGTGTTTACCAAACCCGGACCCTATTCCTACTTTAACCGGAGCCCCGCCACCACCATATTAGGGGCTGGATCCAACCAACCTCATCAACCCACAAATCAACCCAACCCCACTTGTAATACCCAACCAGCCCGAAGCTTCAGCCCAACTCCTACTGGCCCAACCCACAACAATCAACCCAGCCAATCCTCACAAAACTCCCTAGCCTCTGTAAACCAGCCCACAAATTCCTACTCAAACCGACCATACCCAAATTCCTCTCAGTTTAGTGGAAGTGTGAGAAGATTGACTGAGTGGGAAATGCAAGATAAAAGGGCAAAGGGCCTTTGCTTTAAGTGTGATGGAAGATGGACCGGACCTACCCATGTTTGTGGAGCTAAGGGGCTTAGTGTGTTGTTAGTAGAGGAGGAAGAAGGTGAGGAAGGGGGGGGGGACCTTGCCGTGAAATCAATAATAGGAATTTCTTAAAGGTAGTTTACTTGCTTACTCAAGAGGTGATGGAGGCACCGGAGTTGGAAAGTGAGGAGAGCCCGGTCGCCGTGTCTATGAACTCAATTATCGGGTTATCCAATCCAAAGACGATGAGGCTTAGAGGAAAGATCAAGGGGCAACCGGTGGTGATCATGATCGACCCGGGGGCCACCCATAACTTCATATCTTTGCACACCGTGGAGAGTCTTGGGTTAGTAGTATCGGGTGACACTAGTTTTGGGGTGTCACTTGGGAATGGGGAGAATATCAAAGGGAAGGGGCAATGTAGAGGAGTATGCGTGGAATTGGGAGAAGGGGTAGTGGTAGAAGAGGATTTCTTACCTCTTAAGTTGGGAAACTCGGATGTGATCATGGGTATACAATGGCTCGAGAAATTAGGAACCGTGCTCACCAATTGGAAGTTGCAAGAAATGAGTTTTTCCATGGATGGGAAGACCATGGTAATTAGGGGGGATCCAAGCTTGACCAAGTCGGGAATTACCCTTAAAGCCATGATTAGAACGTTGAGGAAGGAGGAAGGAGGCATACTAGTGGAAATGAGCAAGTTGGAGAAGCAAGTGGGCTGCCCCATTGAGGATGGGCCGAAAATCAGTGGGCCTCCAGAATACTTGCAAGAAGTATTGGAGGAGTTTGCCATGGTGTTTGAGTGTCCAAGTGGATTACCCCCAACAAGAGGACATGAGCATTCTATAGTGCTTAAGGAGGCTACTAACCCCATTAGTGTCCGACCCTATCGATGCCCACAATTCCAAAAAGATGAGATCGAAAAGCTCATCGGGGAGATGTTGCAAGCGGGTATCATAAGGCCGTCCACGAGTCCCTTCTCAAGTCCGGTGCTTTTGGTGAAAAAAAAAGATGGATCATGGAGATTTTGTGTGGATTACCGGGCCCTCAACAAAGAGACCGTTCCCGATAAATATCCCATTCCGGTAATCGATGAGTTGCTAGATGAGTTACATGGAGCAAGGGTATTTTCAAAGCTTGATCTCAAGCGGCTACCATCAAATATTAGTTAGACCGGAGGACACTCACAAGACCGCATTCCGGACTCACGAGGGGCATTACGAATTTCTTGTCATGCCTTTCGGTCTCACTAACGCCCCGACGACTTTCCAAGCTCTCATGAATGAGGTATTCCGACCCTATTTGCGTAAATTTGTCCTTGTTTTCTTTGATGACATTTTGGTGTATAGTGTTAGTGAAGAGGAACATAATGCTCACGTGAAGTTAGTCTTAGCCACCCTTAAAGAGAACTCACTGTTTGCCAACTTAAAGAAATGTGAATTTGGGAAGCCCAAAGTGGCTTACTTGGGCCACATAATCTCTAAAGAGGGATGTGCTGTAGATCAAGAGAAGGTGGGCTCAATGGTTTCTTGGCCCACACCGAAGTCCGTCCGAGATTTGAGGGGGTTTTTGGGTTTGACAGGATACTACAGGAAATTCATTCATCACTACGCTCATATCGCAAGGCCATTAACAGAGCAACTCAAGAAAGACTGTTTCGGGTGGACTCCGGCCGCCGATGAGGCGTTTAACGCCTTGAAGCAAGCGATGATCTCGGCGCCCGTACTCATCATGCCCGATTTTTCGAAGGAATTTGTTGTGGAGTCGGATGCTTCGGGGTACGGCCTCGGAGCAGTTTTGATGCAAGGTGGGAAGCCGATGGCCTTCTTTAGTAAGGTGCTCGGCCCTAGAGCACAAGGAAAATCGATATATGAGAAAGAATTGATGGCGGTTTGCCTCGCCGTGGAGAAATGGAAGCACTATTTGTTGGGTCGAAGATTTGTAATCCGAAGCGATCAACAAAGCCTCAAATACATAACACAACAGAGGGAAATTGGGATGGAATTTCAGAAATGGGTTCGGAAATTGGTGGGGTTTGACTTTGAACTTCAATACAAACCCGGGGTGGCCAATAGGGTGGCCGACGCCCTGTCGAGGCGTGGCGAGGATGAGAAAAAAGGGGAATGTAACGCGATTGTGGCCACGCAATTGGTGAACTGGGATGAATTGAAGGAGGAAATCGCGAGAAGTGGCGAAATTCAGAAATTAATCGCGGAGGTCGAGGGTGGACAAGGACCCCGTGGTTATACGGTGGACAATCATCAGTTGCTGTACAAGGGTCGGGTCGTCATTCCAAGGAATTCGGTGCACAAAACCACCCTATTTCGAGTCTATCACGACTCATCGGAGGGAGGACATGTCGGTGAAACTAAGACCTATTTGAAAATCGGGGCGGATTGGTTTTGGAGTGGGATGCGGAAGGATGTGATGCAATATATACGAAGCTGCTCAATTTGTCAGAGGAATAAACACTCTCAACAAACTCCGGCAGGGTTGTTGCAACCGCTGCCCATCCCCGAGAGAATATGGGAGGATATAAGCATGGATTTCGTAGAGGGTTTACCCCGGTCGAAGGGAGTGGATACCATATTTGTGGTAGTTGATAGATTGTCGAAGTACGCCCATTTTATTGGGCTCAAGCACCCTTTCTCGGCGTATACGGTGGCGGAGGTGTTTGTTAAGGAGGTGGTCCGGCTTCATGGAATTCCGGCCAGCATTGTATCGGATCGGGATAGAGTGTTTTTGAGCAATTTTTGGAGAGAGTTATTTCGGTTGCAGGGGACTGTTTTGAAGCGCAGCACCTCCTACCACCCCCAGACCGACGGACAGACGGAGGTGGTAAACAAGCGGCTTGAAACGTATCTCCACTGCTTCGCGGGGGGTCAGCCCAAGTCTTGGGCAAGGTGGCTGCCGTGGGCCGAATTTTCGTACAACACCACCCCTCACTCTGCTACACTGATTACTCCTTTTATGGCGGTTTACGGTAGAGAGACTCCCAAATCGATACGGGTGGGAGCAGGACATACTTCGGTGGGCACCGTGGAGGAATTGCTGCAAGAACGGGACTTAATCTTGGACGAATTGAAGTTCAATTTGGTGCGTGCTCAGCAGATTATGAAGAGTAATGCGGATGGTAAGCGTCGGGATGAAGAGTTTCAGGTGGGGGACTTTGTGTTCCTCAAATTACAACCCTACCGACAGCGGTCTTTGGCTAGGAGGCCTTTTGAGAAGCTAGCGGCTCGCTTCTATGGACCCTATGAGGTGGTGCAGCGTGTGGGTCAGGTGGCGTATAAGTTATTATTGCCGGAGGAATGTCGCATTCATCCCATTTTTCACGTTTCGCAATTGAAGCGCGCTGTTGGTGGTATTCATGTTTCCCCCACCATCCCCGCACAATTGACCCCGGAGTTGGAGATGGTGGTTGAACCAGAGGAGGTGTTGGATGTTAGGCGCAAGAATGGGCAGCAAGGTCGAGTTGAGGTGTTAATTAAGTGGTTGGGGGTTCCAGAATTTGAGGCTACATGGGAGGATGCCGTAGCAGTCAAAGAGCAGTTTACGAGCTTCCACCTTGAGGACAAGGTGGCTCTTTTGGGGGCCGGTATTGCAATACACCCACAAGCTCCACCTATTTTGGTGTATAGCAGAAGGCAAAGGAGGGGACAGGAACAGCAGGGGCAGCAGGACACTCCACCAACACCAACACAAGCAACGGTTATCTGAGTGTAGCAGGGGACACTTTTGGGGTATTAGCTTATTAACTGTGGTAACTCTAGCTTGTTGACAAATTGTAGTAAATTTAGCAATTAAGGCGTTTTGTCCGATTATGTATGAGTTGTAGTATGAGTTGTAGTAGTATAAATAGGTGAGAAAAGAGTAGAGGAAAAAAGGAGAAATTTGTAAGGAACTCTTGGAGAGTAATGGCCTAAAGCCATTGTTATCTTTCTCGCAAGCTTTTAGCTGCCATTAATCAATCAAACAATTCCCGTCTTAGCTATTTATTGCCGTACCACGTAGTCCGTTGCATAATGCAAGGATTATGTATTGATAGCCACTAGCCAGACCTAGTCATATTGTAATATGACACTTACTGCTGCTCATAGCCCATGGATCTGATTCATGTTCTGTTAAGTTGTAAGAGTGCAAAATTTAGTGCCTGATCATGATTGATGGATAGTTAAAGTTACAATTTGCTATAAAAGAGAACAGATACATATGTTTGCTAACTTTGAATTTCATCATATAATTATATTGAAGGCAACCAGCAACATGAAGTTATGAGTTTGAGCAGAAAATGAAGCTAGCTAATTATCAATGTGACTGTAATCTGTCTTATGTTTCTGACAGTTCTTTTTGCTGTCCAATTTTCTATGATTTGAATTATAAATAATGTAAATATTCTTGTTTTAAAATACTCAGCATCTTATAATCTGCAGTGTTTTCCCTTAGTATCATTATTTATGTTTATAGGTGCCACTATTCTGTGTGCGCAAGAATACTTGTTAATTCCACTTTGATATGAATAGAACTGGGTAAAGCATGATTTATGTGTGATTAATATGACACTTAGTATGTTTTATCACTTGAATCCTGCTTTTGGGTTATCATGTAGTGAAAAGTCATTAAAATGAAGCCATAATTCATGTATCTTGTATACCTAAATATATATTGGTGATTACAATCTGTTTAAGAAGCATATTTTCCTTTCTTGTACATAGGAATATTTCAATATTTCATAGTAATTTTGGACTTATTTCTCTGTACTACAACAAATTTGCACATCAAATTATGCATTTATGATTTTATGGTTCCATTTTCCTGATTTGACATTGATTATATTAATATGTTTAGAATAGTAATAACTTCTATGACCTTTGCAGACACTTTGCAAAGAAGGCATATGATACTGCAGACATTCACTCATCAAATAAGCAAAGGCATTCCAATAATTGGTGCTGGTGCTGGGACAGGGATATCAGCTAAATTTGAGGAAGCAGGTGGTGTTGACTTGATTGTCATATACAACTCAGGAAGATTTCGTATGGCTGGAAGGGGCTCTTTAGCCGGGCTGTTGCCTTTTGCTGATGCAAATGCAGTAGTTCTTGAGATGGCCAATGAAGTTTTGCCAGTAAGTTGCAACCTCTTTCAGATCAATATCCCCCTCCCCCCAGGGCTTGTTAAGTGGAAGTTCATCCTTATTATTTCCTTTTACACGTGTTATATTTTAGATTTTGTGTGTAAACCTAATTAAAGACTACCATAGGATACTTCAGCTTTTGGAGTCTTTGTCTGAAGGAAAGAAAAATGTCATCTTATAAAGCTACTATGATCCAACCTTGTTGCCTAATTCAAAAGTGAAACTACGCAATTGGCCCTCAAAAGAAATAACATGTTATGCAGGTGGTGAAAAATGTACCGGTTCTTGCTGGAGTATGTGGCACTGACCCTTTCCGCAGAATGGACTATTTTCTTAAGCAATTAGAGGCAATTGGATTTTGCGGGGTGCAAAACTTTCCAACTGTGGGCCTCTTTGATGGTAATTTCAGGAAGAACCTGGAGGAAACGGGAATGGGATATGGGTAATCTCATGTAATTTCTATTTTATAAGCTCATCCTTGCGTACCTTATTGCCCGTTACTATCTCTAACTCTCTCTGTCTTTACCATTTCTATGGCCAGCTTGGAAATTGAGATGATCAACAAGGCACACAGAATGGGCCTTCTAACAACTCCATATGCATTTAATGAAGATGAGTCTGTAGGAATGGCAAAAGCTGGTGCTGATATGATAGTGGCACACATGGGACTTACAACTTCTGGATCAATAGGTGCAACAACTGCTGTTTCCCTAGATGATTGTGTGATTCATGTTCAAGCGATTGCAGATGCTGCACACAAGACCAGGCCAGATGTTATAGTGCTCTGTCATGGAGGTAGATATTGCAACTTCTGAATTCTGTTAACTTTGAGTTTCAGCTTTTATTTCTGCTAATTGTTCTCTGTATTAGGGTTATTACGATAGTGCAGAGAAACTGCCTTTAGATCATAGGCAGTACAGTAGTACTATAGGTGAAGTTTTAGTGTAAATAGCTAATTTTGAAGAGGGAGGGTCTTTCAAGCTAATGTTTAAAGATGTTGATTAAATCTACTAAACACGTAAATGTAGTAAAATTTACCGCTCTGGAACCCAGGATTGTTTGTGCTTGCCCAAAAGTTTTGTTCTAGCCAAAGATAGTAGAAACCCTGCATATAGCTGCTAAGTATGAGTTCTCCTCTGACACTAATAGTTGTAAGACAGTAAGAGATGTACGACTTGGCTTCCTGACGTCTGCTATCATCCCTTATCTACATTTAACTTATAATATCCTTAAATAATTCATTCTGGTGTAAAATCTGTCTGTGTCACATACGTCACCTTGAAATTACTCTTTGTACATTTCTATATGATAAGGCAAACTAAAGCCTAATACATTTTTGGGACTTTCAAACTACCTGGTTGTGCTCTAAAGTCTAAACTGATATAAATGTGTATTGTACTATCGAAATTCTTGGCCTATGTGGGCTATGTCAATTTGTAAGTTTCTTTTTTTTCTAAAAGAATTTGCCGGTTACTCTTGTTACTCCCATCTTGAATGAAAGACTTGTACTTTAAGTTTAGGCAGTGTCGCAGTGAGTATATCAAGTTAGCTAACTCAAGCAGTTTAAACCTTACAGGTCCCATATCAGGCCCTAAAGAAGCAGAGTTCATACTAAAGAGAACCAAGGGAGTTCACGGATTTTATGGGGCATCAAGCATGGAGAGACTACCGGTTGAACAAGCTATAAAGAGTACAGTTGAACAGTATAAATTAATTTCGCTTTACTGAGGTTCTCTCAGGAATCAATTTCTGGATTTTCTATGTAACTGTTTCGCCTGCTGCCGTAGAATACCAAAGAGCTGCTGCTATGGTATGCGCTACTACCTGATTGACCTTATGGTAATATTCTCGAAGTTACAGAATAATTAAATAATTATATAAATGACAACACTTGTATGAGTTGTATCGTTGTATGTAACACTTAGATACTGTGATTTGCAACACTTCCATGTAAAATGTCTAATGTGTTACTGTAAATTGTAACATTCTTAACACTTTACTTTGAAGCTCATGAATAAATTCAAAATCCCATCAAAACCTTTTAATGTTGGTTATAATATTTTATAGTCTTTCAATTTCGTTTTTTGTAAACAGTATGTTGTAATATTCAGAATATGATGTACAGTATTTAACAAGGAGTCTATCCTAGCAACACGTGTAAATGTGGCTCAACATTATTACATTTCTAAAATATATTTATATTTTCTGTCGGTCTATATTCCATGATAACTTAATGTGAAACCAATGTTTGTCAATATGAGAAAATTAAGGTGATCGATTCGTAGTAATAAGGAAATTGCAATAGTACTCGTAGTATTTCATGTTATCCAATATCCACTAGTGAAAAGTATTAGGACCTAAATGCACATCAAGAAAGCTTCTTGCATATTGGTTATATTGGGGCTTTAGACGTGTTTTTCAGGGTCGTAAGTCAAAAAGGTTGAGCTTCAACTCTTTGGTATTTCGTCCGGAGACTTGAGCTTCAACTTCATAATTTCTACTACGTAATTTTTTTAGTCATGAAACTGCAATTTAGATATCATTAGCCAGATCCCTTCAAACTTGTTGATTACGGAGTAAATAGTTTGCTCAACTTATTTGACTTGTATCTTACTCCATTTTTACTTTTTACGCTTGAAAGAACTTATTTTTCTTGAACTTATTTAAATTGAACTAATATGAACTTAGAATATATTTTCTTCAACTTATTTAAAAAACTTGTTACTTATTCTTGTTAAAATTAGACACATTGAGATGAATACAATAACTTTCCAATGAGAACAATCTTGACCGACGACTTTGACATACTAGGATGCTCCGTTCACTTCACCTTAAAAAAATAGTATTAAGTAAAAATAATTTCAATTCAGTAAAAATCAGTTTTAATCAGTAAAAATAATTTAAGTTCAATAAAAATAAGTTTAGTAAAAATAATTTCAGTTCAGTAAAAAATAATTTCAGTTCAGCAAAAATAATTTCAGTTCAGTAAAAATAATTTCAACTCAGCAAAAATAATTTCAGCAAAATTAATTTAAGTTCATGTATTTTGATGCTTTATTTTTACTAGGTTTTTTTTATGTAAATTATTTTTTCCATATACTGTAAAATATTGTCGTACAAGATTTTTTTTAATACTTCACATATATTTTTTTATGCATCACTTTTGTCTACACTTTTATCACATATTGTATAGTTATAAAATATAATATCTTTTTTTTTGTCAAGTATAAAATATTATGTCTTATTGATAATATTGTAGTCGGTGATATTTGTTAAATACAAGTACTATATTTTATAAAAGGGTAACAAAATTCATCGTAATAGCATACCTAATCATTTACAATAAATTCAATAAGATTTTGAAATATGATATTCATATATGATTATATATACATGATCTATACAATACTACCAATATGTCGTTATATTTTTTTTGCTTGAATATCACATGCCTTGATATGATCAATCAATCTACCAATATTTGCTATAATTATTTGTAAATTCCATGCAATTAACCAACGTATACGTAGTAAAAAATTAATTGACAATTCAACAAAAAAATTTAATTAACAAGATTTTTTTCATGCATGTCATAAATTGTGCTAAAGTCTTTAGGTTTGAGATCGTTAACTCCAACTCGCTACTTTCGGAAATATTTTAACAATCAACTATATATTTTAATAGTCTCATATATATATCATAATAGTGTCAGTGTGTTTGACTTTTATTGTAGAATGTTTAGTTTTATGTTCAACAAATGTAATTAATTATTAAACCAAAATACAAATTTTTGTTTAAAAAGGATTGTTTAAGATATTTATTTTATTTGAAAGTAAATTCCTAAATTGAGTACATATATATGGTTAGCATATTGTGTGTAAGATTTCACAATATTGTACAATTTTTTTTTTTTGGAAAAATAAAGATCATAAATTATATGTCAAAGTATCTTTATAATACTCTATAGTGCCTATAAAAACCTCTTTTTCATAGTTCTAGTTCATCCAAGTCGAGCTTGTAGCTTTCAAATCTTCATGGGTTCGAGAACCAAATTCACCAATGACACTACTAGAAATTTTTTGGAGATTCTTCTCCAACACAAATTAGATGGAAACTCAAAGTTAGATCAGGAAAATTTTTTGCGTAATTTGAATGCAAACTGGACATAATTTTTCTGAGAAACCTTTGCAAAATCATTTTGCAGATTTGAAAAGAAAATATATAGCTTGGTATGGATTGAAGACGGGTGCTTGTTGGACGGGTCTTGCTTTTGATGCAGTGATTGGCTGCCCTCTCATCAAACAAGATGATAGGTGGGCTGCATTTGTTAAGGTATTAAACTTTGTTTTTTGTCATCTATTATTCAAATTATGTTAATGATGTATGGTAGTAATCTTAGTTACTGTAATTATTTTGTTATACAGAAACATAAAGGATGGCCCATACAATTCTTGAAGAGGCCATTACCTAATGAAGATCTGCTGCATGCTTATTTCAAGGGCACTTTTGCAACCAATAAATTGGTTATCTCCCCGTCAATGGCAAAAAATGCATCACTATTTTCTAATTATAAAGATCAAGAACCCACAGGAGACAATGATGATGAGCAAGATCATCCTTTAAACTTAACCCCCGAGGATAACAATGTAGATTATGAGAATGATTCTTCTAGAATATCACCTCCTCTAGGAAAGCGTAAGAGTTTGGGGGAAACTAGTAAAATTAATAAAAAGAGGATGAGCGACATTGATAAGTTATAGAGGTTGTGAAGTCAACTATTCAGGCTGAGTCATCAAAGGTACAAAGTAATCCAGTACAAGAAAAGTTCAATTTTCTTGCTGCAACTCTTAAATTGATTCCTCAAATGAAAGATTACATTGATGCTTTTTATATCCATGTTTTGGAGTACTTAACTAAGGATCACAATGGGGAATTTTTCATGGCACTTGCTACTAATCATCAGAAATTGCTTTGGTTGAAGTCGAGGGATATAGCTTTTCCTATAGACTATTATACTCCCTAATTAGCTGATGAAATAAATGACTTGGACTTGTCATAAGCAGTAAAAACTAATGTGGTGGAGATTATTATGATGAAACAAATGAGTGTTTATTTTAATAAAAACTTTGGTGCTTCGTTATAATATGAATAAAATAATTTCATTTTATTTGTTTTGACATTGTATGTATATTTTTTTTTTGAAGAAGAATTGTTGTATGCTTATCTATTCAATAGTAAAATATAATTAGAAATGATGAGAAAAAGATATTTTATTTCAATAGGGACAATTGGCCTGGGGATTACACAAAAATAATTAATAAACGAGTATATGGGCTATAGTAATGAGACTATTGACCTTTTTCACATGCAAAATCAAAAACCAATCGAACTAAAAAATAAAAATAAAAAAAAGGAAGTTTTACTAAAAACTTAGAAAATAGTTGTTTGATCCTGACCAATTGGATTTTATGCTGGCATATTTGATGTATAAAAGGAAAATAAAATACCGCTAATGTAATGTGATAATTAATTGAATCTTGGCATGAACATATTTTTTGACAGGACTTGAACATATATTGATCGATAAGACAAGTTTAATAAATTCTCATAAATATTGCTAATGATAGAAATTATCATCAACCTTTTAGGATTTTATTTTTTATTTTTTTTATTTTTTTATTTTTTTTTGTTTTGTTTTAATAATGAACAATTTATTACTTTCATTTTACTGAATAATAATAATAATAATAATCAATCTCTTTCCTTTGCGTTCTTTGTACTCCGTATATATGGTAAAACAAATAATTCCCTTGTATTACATGTAGTTTTACTGATTTAATATATATATATATACTACTTGGGTGGGACGAATTGGACAATCATAAAAATATACAATGCTTTTTGTAATCATCTACATATTGAAGGTTATATCTTAATATTATATTATATTTTTATTTTTATTTTTTTTTGTTTAAATGTGAGATCTCACTTCTTGTTGTTGCTTTTATATTGTAGAATGGACAATGAGTTGCTTCAAAAATGCATACTATTTTTGGTACTATATGAATTGTTGAGACTCCTTACCCCAATTCATCGCATACCTTTAAGGATCGGGGGTGAAAATGGATCAGCATATATAACAAGGTTGTTAACAGTTCATCCTGGTTTGTTTAAAGAGCAGCTAAGATTGGATAGGGATATGTTTGTGCGACTAGTCCAATTGAAGATAGAAAAAAATTTATTATCGGACGGAAGGTTTGTAAAAGTGGTTGAACAAGTAGGAATTTGTCTATTTAGGGGCATCTCAACGCCAAACTGCTGACACATTTAAGCACTCAATATCAACAATTCGCAAATATTTCAGAAGGGTGTTGCAAGCATTGACAAGATTGTCATGTGATTTAATTCGTCCTTATCAAGATTTGGCCGATACACCACCAGAAGTACAAGAAAACTCATTATATTGGCCTTTTTTTAAGGTTAGTATGTTATTTAATTTTCATATAAATACATTTATAAAAGCATTATTTTATAATAAAAATTTAATTTTCATGTGTTAGGATTGTGTTGGTGCTTTAGATGGAACTCATATTAGTGCAGTTGTGTCCGATGGTGATGGTCAACCATTTCGCGGATGTAAAGGAACTAAAACTTGGAATGTACTAGCCTCATGCTCTTTTAATAGGTTATTCACATTTTTCAATGTTGGATATCAAGGAAGTGCTCGTGATATAACGGTGTGGAGAAATTGCTTAACTGATCCTAAATTTGAATTTCTACACCCTCCTCTAGGTAGGTAATTCTTTAATATTATTTTCTTTTAGCAGGATAATTTATTGTAATAAAATTTTTATTTTCTTATTAGGAAAATATTATTTAGTGGATTCAGGTTATTCTAACACACTCAGTTATTTGAGTCCAATTAAAGACAAGCAAACAAGGTATAATATGCCGGAATTTCACAATGGTCCTCCACCTCGAGGAATGCTGGAACATTACAATTATCGTCATTCTTCATTGCATACTACAATTGAAAGGTGTTTTGACAACGTTAAGGGGCAATGGAAGATTTTGAAAAACATGCCACAAATGTCTCAAACATATCAATTATCAATAATCTTATCAACGTTTACTTCATATTTTTATCCGATTGTACACTTTAGGGATACCAATTTCAGAAAGATGTGCAAATGTTGAGCCTAGAGCGGAATACTCCATATTTGATGAAGGTAGGAAAGCTCAGATGGATATAGTACAAAATTAGCATATTTGGTAATCAATTAGGGACATCAAGGATGAAGATCATCATATGCATGGACGTTTAATAAAAAACTTAAATAGTCATATGCAATAAGAAGCAATCCTTGTAATAATTTATGATGATAATAAAGTTATGATTATATTCTTATTATTATTAGTTTTATTGTTTTGGCATGTTTGGCGGTAAAGTTAGGCAACGAAAGGCAGTATCCCTAAACCTAATATCATATACAAGTATATTAAATACATATTCCCATAATATATAGGCTAACCATTTTTATATACGAAATATTATGTAAAATTTATATGGTTGGCATAATATATTATCGTTATATATGCCAACAAAAATAGATTATTTTACCATATATATATATTAAATCAGTAAAAATAATTTCAGTTCAGTAAAAATAATTTCAGTTCAACAAAATTAAGGTGAAGTGCACGGGGCCGAAGTGTTGGTATAGATAGGGTGCTTCTTTCTCCATAACAAAAGAGACCCATACGTACTAAAAATCTCAAATACCTTCATACAGGCATTTTTGACAATCATACATAGAATGATAGAAAACTAATTACTTGATTAACAAGGCCAAAAATATTGGCTCATTATTCTATGAATTCCTTGGCTTCCAAATATATGTTAATCTGTAGATCCAGAATATTAAAACACTCTAATCTTATGTTTGTCACATGTCATATCTCATATTAGAGCAGTTGACCCAATTTTACGAAATATACTATACTCTTAAATTAAATTAAATTTGTCTTCAAAAAAAAATTAAATTAAATTTGGCCCCTAATTTGGGACACATCCCATTTTTTCATCCGTCCGTAAACCCACGTCACCGTCCATCGTTAGGACTTTAGCTTAAGAATTCATTAGTCAACCAAACGAGTCTTTGAAATTTCACTAATTACGGTCAATATTTATAATCTCACCTTCGTTGAATTTTCTAAGTAACGAATTTGAATCATCAATACATGTAATAAATAGTGCTCAAATTGATCACACACTAAAACATAACCAACAAACAGTCACTAATAATCCCATCATTACACAAATTCTCACTTTGATTATTTTATAAAACGTTCTCATTTCATGGCTTCTTCCAGCACAATGATGGCAGCAAAATCAGTGCTGTCGACGGTTGGCTCGGCAGCCGCCGCGGTAATGGTGGCGCGATCGGTCATCAACGACTTCCTTCCCTACGAAGTCCGTGACTACTTATTCTCCTCCATCCATTCCATCTTTAGTCGAAGGTTTTCCTCGGAGATCACTATGATCATCGAGGAGTTCGACGGCCTCGAATGTAACCAAATCTTTGAGGCCGTCGAACTCTTCATAGGGGCTCGAACCAAAACCACGTCCACAACGTCTGCATCAGCCACCCGGCTTAAGGTCCGGAAGCCTGAATCCGGGGATAAAATACTGGTCAACGTGGATCGAAATGAGGAGATCGTTGACGAGTTCGAAGGGTCAAGTTTCGATGGATGTTACATTGTCACACCATCCAGTCTAACAACTTTTACCATCCAAGAGATATGAACTCAACCTTGAGGTCAGAGGTTAAATCCTTTCACTTAACATTCCACAAAAAGTTTAAGGCTATTGCGATGGAAAAGTATATCCCTCACATTATAAAACAAATGGAGTTTCTAAAAATGGAGACGAAGACGATCAAGCTATTTACAGTTGATCCAAATAACTCGTATGGTAATCCTGCAAATGCGTGGACACCTATTACTTTAAACCACCCAGCCACTTTCGATACAGTGGTGATGGACACCGAGTTGAAACAAATGATCATCGAGGATCTCGAAAGGTTTTTGAAGAGGAAAGAGTACTATCGACATGTAGGGAAGGTGTGGAAGAGAGGTTACTTATTGTACGGGCCTCCTGGGACAGGAAAATCAAGCTTGATCGCGGCTATGGCAAATTACTTGAATTTTGATGTGTATGATTTGGCGTTGAGTGGGTTGAGGTTTGATTCTGAGCTCCGGAATGCACTGTTGGGTACCGCGAATAAGTCTATAGTTGTGGTTGAGGATATTGATTGTTCCATTGAGTTGAACAACAGGGAAAATGAAGAAGGTCCTTGTGGTTTTGATGGGCGTTTTCCTGGTGGGCAACGACAGCAAGACAAGGCTTGTAGTTTCCCTTTAATTGATGAAATTGATCATAATGTATTGAGGGACCAATTCAATCGAAAACTTATCAAGCAGATGGTTAAAATCTTAAGATTAGTTTTATACTGATCTATCTTAATTTTGATCAATGTATTTGTTTCTTGTCAGGTTACATTATCGAGATTAATGAACTTTATTGATGGAATATGGTCAAGTTGTGGGGATGAGCGAATAATAATATTTACGACAAATCACAAAGAAAAGTTGGACCCTGCATTGCTACGTCCAGGGCGCATGGACGTGCACATTCACATGTCTTATTGCACTCCTTGTGGATTTAATCTCCTTGCTAACAAGTACCTCGGCGTAAAGCATCATGAACTCTTTACAGACATTGAGAGGCTGGTGGAGGAAAAAAAATGTCACCCCCGCCGAGGTTGCTGAGCAATTAATGAAGCACGACAAGCCTGATCCAGCACTTAGAGGTCTAGTTGAGTTCCTCGAATTGAAAAAGGTGGATGAAGCAAATGAGGAGGCTAAGAAATTGAAGGATGATGAGTCCAAGCTTAAAGAGACTGATAATAAAAATGATGAAGTGAATGATGGTGAGGATGTTAAGGAGGCCAATGACAAGGAGTCAATTGAAAAACAAGATGTTAATAAATGAAATTTAAGGATTGTTCTTATATTTGCAATGTACATTTACAATATTTCTAATACTATGGATTTTTTTTTTTTTAATCTAGAGTTTCATCTGTACACAATACAAATCTAAGACTTATACGTTGACGCATAATAATATTAAGACTTTCATTTTTGAAGCCAATCCTACAAGATCACGGAAACATCACAAGACCAAAGCCAAAAACAAAAGTAAAACAATTTTGCAACCAATGAAGTTTTGCCAGTAAGTAGCGACCTCTTTCAGATCAATTTCCCCCTCCCCCTCCCCAGGGTTTGTTATGGATTAACACTTCAACATTTGTTTGTCAATATACTTTTATACATTTCTAAAAGTATACTAGCAGTACTTTTATATTCAACAAATGTAAATTCTATTATTTCATTTTTAAAAGACTAAAATATACTTTTATTATTTTCAGTTAGTTTACATTCCATGATAATAACTTGGGGAAACATATACTACTTTGTCAATTTGAGAAAATTAAGATGATCAATTCAGAGTAATAAGGGAAACACAATAGTACTCGGTATACCTATGTAATTATTTTTAGAAATGAGAGCGATAAAGAGAAAAAAGAGAACTCATGCGATATGAGAGAAAAATTAGATAATTGTAATGCATTTCAATTGAAACTTCGATATATAAAAGTACTTTGTAATGCATTAAGAAAAACGAATGAAGTATTAGAGATTAGGGAGGATCGACCAAAATTCACGTCATATTGGGGCTTTAGACGTGTTTTTGAGGGTCACAAGTCAGAAAGGTTGAGCTTGAACTAACTTTTGGGTATTTCTTCCGGAGACCTGACCTTCAACAAATAACCAGCTTCATAATTATTACTACTCCGTACTTTGCATTTTTTAGTCGTAAAAACTTGTTGATTATGGAGTAAATAAGTTGCACAACTTATTTTAATTTGCATCTTACTTGATTTTCATATTTTTTAAAAAAAATTACTCTGACTGAAATTAATTTAATATCAGCTTAAATCATGTTTTCTTCGACTTATTTTAAAAACCTGTTACTTATTTCATGTTAGAATTAGACACATTGTGATGAAAATAACAAAATCAACAAAAATGATCTAAATTGACGTACTAGAAGTGCTCTCCATATTAGACAGAGTGCTTCTTCTCCTAACCAAAAACGGGACCCATATAATCTTAAAGTCTCCCATATCTATCTTCATGCAGGCATCGTTCATTGACAAATCTTACATAGACTACAAAATACTTGATGAACAAGGCCAACAATATAGATTATTCTATGAATACCTTGGCTTCCAAGTATATGTTAATCTGAAGATCCGTAACATTAATTATAACACCCTAACCTTATGCACATGTCATATACCATACTAGAGCAGTTGACTTTAGCTTATGCACATTAACTATACTCTAAAATTAAAGTTGGCCCCTAATAACTTGGAACACACCCCATTGTTTTCAATTTTTCATCCGTCCTTAAAGACTTTAGCTTAAGCTTTCATTAGCCAAACAACGAGTATATGAAATTTCACCAATTTACTCAATTTTTCTACGGTTGAATTTTCCACGTAACGAATTTGACTTATCGATACAATGTTATAAATATAAATTAAATAGTGCTCAAATTGATCACACACTAAAACATAATTAACCACACTCACTAGTCATCCCATCATAATTACAATAATTCTCTCTTTAATTATTTTTATAAAACTTTCTCATTTCATATTTCCATGGCTTCTTCAAGCACAATGATGAGAGCAAAATCAGTCCTGTCGACGGTTGGCTCGGCAGCCACGGCAGTAATGGTGGCGCGATCGGTCATCAACGACTTCCTCCCCTACGAAGTCTGTGACTACCTATTCTCCTCCATCCATTCCATCTTAAGTCGTAGGTTTTCCACGGAGATCACTATGATCATCGAGGAGTTTGACGGCCTCGAGAACAACCAAATCTTTGATGCCGTCGAACTCTTCATAGGGGCCCGAACCAAAACCACGTCCACGTCTGCATCAGCCACCCGCCTTATGGTCCGGAAGCCTGTAACCGGGGATAAAATACTAGTCAACGTAGATCGAAACGAAGGGATCGTACATGAGTTCGAGGGGGTCAAGTTTCGATGGATGTTTTATTGTCACACCATCCAGTCTAACAATAACTTTTACCACCCAAGAGATATGAACTCAACCTTAAAGTCGGAGGTTAAATCATTTCACTTAACATTTCACAAAAAGTTTAAGGCTATTGCAATAAAAAAAAATATATCCCCCACATTTTAAAGCAATCGGAGTTTCTTAAAATGGAGACGAAGACGATCAAGCTGTTTACAAATAATCCAAATTGGACATCTATCACATTAAACCACCCAGCCACATTCAAAACAGTGGTGAAGGACACCGAGTTGAAACGAATGATCATCGAAGATCTCGATAGGTTTTTGAAGAGGAAAGAGTACTATCAACATGTCGGGAAGGTGTGGAAGAGAGGTTACCTGTTGTACGGGCCTCCCGGGACAGGGAAATCGAGCTTGATCGCGGCTATGGCAAATTACTTGAATTTTGATGTGTATGTGAAAGTCTAACTGGCTAATACAAGAGGGGGGGGTGAATTGTATTTGAGGTGAAATCTAAAAACTTTTTGCGGAATTTAACTAAATGAAATAGTGACGAGAGAAGATATAGGCTTTTCTAAATTTCCACTAAGTAATCAAACTCTTTACAAGTGAAGATTCAAACCCGTTAACAAGTTCCACAAATTAGGAACTTGTTCCCAACTCTCACAGAAGACTTCAGCAACGAAGCTTCCTTGACCTCACTTTACAAACTCACAATCCCAACCCCTAAGTACTTGAATACAATCTGTGATTACAAATACCTATTGCACTCAAAAATATATGAAGGAAAATAACTCTCTTTATGTTATTAGATGGCTACTGGAATTTTTATGCTCAAGAGTTATGTTTTTCTGAGATAGTTTGCACGAGTATTTATAGAGAAGGCTTAGTCATTAACCTCCACCATAATCACGTCCACATGTCAACAACCCACTAACAACTTGTGGAGTTATCTTGACAGATTGTGATCATGAAGAGGTTTCCTAGCCTTATCTAATTAAACCACTATCCTAACAACTTGATAACCATTAGCCGTATAAAAGATTTTCTCACAGAAAAACCACTTGCTAACTTTATCAAATATTTTATTTAAAAGATTATCAAAAGTTTGTTTAAAAAGATTTTATTTGAAAAGATAAATTTATTATTTATTAAAACAACTAGATAATTATCTTCGATAATTATCTTTATTAAAACTTTTACAAATTATCTTTTCTTTAAGAAATTATCTTTTAAAACTAACTTTTATTCCAGTAGTCTTTAACATAAGTCATTGAGTTCCTTTCCGACTTTATATTATTGAGTGCTCACAATTAAAACTAGAACGTGAGATTTGCACGAGGCTTTTTAAAGAATGCTACTCCGCATCCAAGTTCCTACTCCGGAACGAACTTTGCTTGAATCCTTTATTCACCAAAGACTCAAAACATTCATTAGTCGAGTTTGTCAATTTGTCCATCAAAACCAAAAGGCTCAACAAATTCCCCCTTTTTGATGATGACAAACATTGACAAACTTAGGTAAATAAAATCATCCAGGCATGCAACAAAAATTTAAAGTAAGGCATGAAAACAAAAAAACAATTAAAGAACTTAGAAAAATATTAAAAAGTATTTTTTTTTTTTTTTTTTTTTTTTTTATTATTATTATTATTTTTTTTTTTTTTTTAAAAAAACTGAGCAAAAGAAAAATTAACAAAGACTTTAAAAACTGAACTTAGCAAAAGTTTGTACCTTCGATGTGTGAGTTCCTTGGTAAACACCTTAGCCGCCATGAAGTTTGTCTTTTTCCCCCTTTTGGCATTATCAAAAGATTGAAAAAAACATTTTGCTATACTCCCACTAGACTACGTAGGGAATAGTGAGCTCAAATAATGCAAGGCAAAAATAAGTTAGGTACTAAATCATCAGCAAACACACACAATCATATGAAAAATACGAGCCAAGTTCCCATAGACGAAAATCAAAAGCAGGAAAGAGTAGCAAAAGTTATGAGTTACAAACTGAAATCCGAATGGAACAAGCAAAAACAAAAGAAGTAAAAGTGACAAGTTTGAAATTGCAATTATGGTGAGTAAGTAGGTTCATCAGCTGGGGTTTTGGGGTCATTGGAAGCTTCCTCCACCTCTTCAAAAGCCACCCTGTTAATCGTCTCCAATATCTCCTGAGTGCTGTGCAGTATGTTCTTCTCAGCAGCATCAACTTTGTTCTCCATCCCAGTAAAACTGGTTGCCTGAGCATCTGCCACAGCCTGCACTTGGCGTTGAAGAGAAGCCAGCTGCTTTGCCATGTCCTCCAGCTTTGTGCACACCATCTTTACCAGCTTCTCCATTTCTGCTTTCACCTGTTGAATATCAAAAACAGAAGCATTTGTTCCAGAGAAGGCAGCAAAGCCTGTAGGCTGTGATGTAGGAAAAGCTGGGGAGGGAGAGGGAGAAGTCTGTTTTGGTGAAACAGGAGGGGAAGAGGGTTTAGCTTGGTTTGTGGGAGAGGCAGGAACAGGAGATGGCTCGGAGGCAAAAGGAACTTGTGTAGGGGTGAAATCAGGGTCTGAGTGATCAGAAGAGCTAATGTCTTCAATGATCACAGGCTTTAGAGTAGAAGTAGCAGGTTTGACAATTTTCCTCTTACTCCGCCTTAGTCCTCCTGTATAAGGGAGGTCGAGACTCTCACTTTCTGAGCTAGATTCCCCCTCACTCTGAGTCTCCTCTTCTTCCACAGAAACTGCCTCCTGAGGTTCCCCCTCAGAAATTGCTTCCTCTCCTTTTTCTTCCTCTCCTTTTTCTTTATTTTCCTCTTTTTCAGACTCACTTTCCTCCTCTTCTGACTCACTTGTATCTCCCTCTACAACCTGTGTTTTCCCTTTTCCACGATTTTTCTCCTCACTTCCTCTCGTCAAGAAAGTAAGTGTCCCACTCTCAAGTTTAAGGCTCAGGCGAAGCAAAGATTGCTCCGAGAGAATGTTCTCAGGTTTAATATAAGTGGGTGACTCACTTTCAACATCAATCCCAAAAGACTTAAACAACACAGTGAGGAGAGATCCATATGGAATAGTAGATTTATTTGCATAGAAAGCCAAATGTTCAATCATCAACTTTGGAAAGTTTATTTTTATTTTCCGAGCAAGACAAAAGAT